ATCTTCTTAATAAGGGCTGGCTTTTCAAAATGCAAAGGGTACTTTCTGTTTCTCCTGCTGTATCTGCATCAGCCCTAATCCAAACTGCACTGACAACAGGCCAGGGCCCACTGCCCCAGTGAAAAGCCAGGGCTGCGCTCGCAGGGGCTGCTGCATTTAGGGGCTGCTCAGAGGGCCCCAGGGCATGCTGCTTCCTGCTACTGGAATGCAGGATGGCCCAGTGCAGGCTGTGAATATTCACGCTGGTGTGCGTGACTCGTGGCCATGCCCTTGTCTCTGGGCACCCCCATCCTGCACAATTAGAGCCTGGTTTACATCTGGGTTGTGAGTAACCTCCCAGGGCATGGGGGAGAAGTCTTTCCCCTCCAGATTGGATTCCCTTTCCAATCTTTGGAAGGCCAGCCAAGGATTGGCTCTGCAGGGACCACTCCCCACCCCATGAGGCTACACTGGTTCCTGGGGGCATCCAGGATGGGAGGAGGGTGGATTGAACTGATGATCCCCTCACGCCTTCACTCCACAGGCTAGCTCTTGAACTCTTGCTAGAACACTGACCTCCCCTTTGTGTACGCGGGAGACACCTCAGCAGGGTTCTAACTCAGGAGACCCTCCTTCTTCCAGGCCTCAGTGAGGAGACCCCAGATAGGCCTGAAGCCAGAGTCAGGGCCAGCTGGAGGAAGAGTGTAAGCCGATGGGTGGCATGTGGACCAGACTTGCCCAAACATATCCAGCGCCAGGCCATGTACATATAGTAGGCGCTTGGTAAACATCATGAATCCATGCATGAAGCCAACCCTGTGTGGAAATACCATCATTACATTTATTTCTCTAAGATAACAAAAAAGGGGCAGAAAACAGTTTCCATTAAAATGGAGCTGTTCTTGGAAAGGCAGGGGAAGGCTCTGGAGAACTCAGACCTTCTAATTAGCTCACTGGCCCAGATGAGCGAGACTGTTACCTTGGAAGGTACAGCAAGCTGGATTCTGAGAGGATGGCTGGATGGGGTGTGGACAGGGGTATGTCCCAGAACAAATCCCATGGATGCCCTGTGCCTCCACCCCAAGGGGTGAGCCAAGAAGGTGAGCCTCATTACAGAGCCCCTGGGGCAGTCCTTAGAGGGAAGGAAATATTTAGTACCCTCCTAGGAGTCTGAGAGGAATATGAAAAAACGCCAGCAGGAGGGGCTGCTTAAAAGAAGGGAGGACCCAAGCGGGAGGGCTGCAAGGACCAAGCCACACAGCTTCCAGCACATCGGCAGCTGGCTGTTCCAGAGCTGGGGGTGGGGGCACTCACGAGCGTTACCCACGCCTGCTTGCCAAGTGGTCACAAGTCCCTCGCTAAGAGGAATGCCCCTTAAAGAACTTTGCCATGGTAGCTTCTCTCAATGGCTGCAGTGCAGTGCAATTTCTGTGGGAGCATTGTCAGGGCAAACGTTTTGGGGGAGGTAGTGGTGGTGGGTGTTAGGAAAAAAAAATGCACGCTACTTGCCAATTTATCCAGCATTTCAGAAAACAGCTCCTTGCCGGCAGAGTCAAAAATGAAGAGTTCCTAGAATCAGAAAAGCATGTCCCAAGAAATCCCAGGAAAGTCTCCACGGGGGAGAACCACTGGCTGCCAGTCACTGGAAGCACCCTCAGTTCACCGCGGACCTGTCTCGGTGGCAAAACACACACACCCACATGCACGCACATGTTCCCACAAGCTCGATCCTTTCCTCAGGCACGAGCAAGAAGCTGGGGAAAGGAAGGAACTCCAGAGTCTCAGAGGCAGCGCAACAGTTTCCCACCTTCCATGTGGCATCTCACCTCTCGTAACCCCAAGTGCAAAAATACCAGGAACAAGCTGACTTCCCACCTGGCAGAACAGAATGCTAAACAGGCTGACAAGTGCTCTGGTTTCCAAAGGTCATTCTGTACTTTGTTAACCAAATTGATTTTCAAATCTTAAAACCATTCTTTTTAAAGGAGGTCACAGAGTAAGCCTGGGGGAGGCATTTAAAGTAGGACAGTCTGTCATCATTCTGGGATACCTACGTTAGGACAGAGGGCACGGGATGACCCTTCCTGCCCCTGTCCAAACCTTACCTAGCCCACGTGAGAGTCCCCCAGTGTTGCTCTAGGATACCTGCCTCCTCTCCCCTTCAGGCTCTCTCTGGCACTGGGTACCCCTGGCTAGCTTCTGACCGTCCCCCGTCCCCCGGCCACATGCTATCCGAATGGCAATACCACAATCTGCTTTGCATATTGGCTATGGTGCATGTTTTCTTTCTCATGGCATCAGGGTACTTACAGTAAGAATCTGGTAAAAACTACAAACCCTCTCTGCAGGAAAGTACACACAAACATAACATCTTGCAAGAGTTCTTAGACTCCCATAAAAGGATCCAGTTAAGAACGTTGATACTAGATAACAAGTTCTTTGAGGGCAGGGCCCATATCCCAGTGTCCCTCCCCTCCTCCTCCTCAGCACTGCCCCTGAATGCTTCCTGTGTTCCCTGAGTCTGTTCCCAAATGCTCAGGTAAGTCTCAGCCAAGTCCATAACCACATCTCTCCTAGGGAAGATGACAGTGACCACAGAGACTCTGGGCCCAGCTGGAGTAGCCCTGAGTTCTTTCAGGTTAAGGGTACGACTTACCACACTGTCACCTGTGTTGGGAACTGGCACCATCTTCACCACCAAATCCACCCCTGTTGTCTGCCAAGGAACACGAAGAACATGAGCATCAGAGGACCCAAAGTGGGGCAGGTCACCAGAAGACACACCGAGCACCCTGGCTCCCTGGGGGGATATCCCCAGCCTCAGTGTTTGTGTTCTGGCTTCACTCTGGGTGCAAAGTGACTCAGACTGCACAAGTCAGACAGGACCATCTAGTCTTCTCCACCTCCCTGCCCACGAGTGAGTGGCGGCACATGGTGACCAAGTCACGCACCATCCAGTCTGCTCTGCAGACAGCCCCTCGCCCCATGGCTAGTGGAAAACGATCTCCATGTCGCCACTGGAGCAGCCTCCCATCTGGCCTCTTAGGGCTTCTTCAAGGAGTTTTGCAAAGTCACTCACTCAGGGTTAACTGACCCCTTCTCTTTAAGCCTTGGCCAAACTAGACTCCCACAGCTCACCAGGGTGTAGTTCTTCTGGAAATGGGCTCCGTCACTGCGGAAGATCTGTGCCAGGGCAGTCTTGCCCACTGTTGGGTCTCCTGTGAGATCAGCGCAGAAGAAAAACATCATCTCAGTTTTAACCTGACTTGAGAATATCCCACTCCAGAACACTAGTCTAGAAACCTAAACGTCAATAAGTTTTCAGAGAAAATGTCCTGGGCTCTCACGGGAACTTGTTCTGAGGCCGCAGGCAGGAGAATGGGTCCAGGAGATGCATCTTCAAATCTCACAATAGCCAGAGTACATTTCTTCATGGCTAATCCTTTCATCCAAAAGAAGTGACCCAGAAGGTGACAGAGCTTAAGGAGGCCTTGGAGCCCTGGAAACAGAACTGACACTCTTCCACTGAAACATACCCTATGGGAAAACCTGTCACTTTCAAACTCGAATTTACTTTGAAGCCTTGAAGGTAAAGAAGTGTGATCAGGCAGACTCGGAGCCTCACCTGGCTAACTGAAGCAAGCTGAGCTTTGAGCTTCCGCCCGAATGAGTTTTGGGGGGGCGTGGGAGTTGGGAGGGTTTCTGCATTTACGGGAAGTAAGAAGTCAGATGCTGCATTCTGCCTTCTCATTTCCCATAAATGAAATCCCTAGCCAAGTGGTCTCTTCTGCCAGCACCTCAGTGTGCCCATGGGTGATGCTGAGGACTCACCTTCCTAGGGGCCACTCCACAGACTGTTTCAATAAGTCACTTCCTCCAAGCTCGTCTTACACTTACTGGGTTTGTCCCCTCAACTTTCCTGTGTTGGTAATGGCCTCAGAAACTGGTACCTCAAAACTAAAGGTTTACGTCACAGTTCTCAGTCTGGGATCTGAACGTTTTGCAAGGCGGTCAGCAGCAATTTAATCCGGAGTTCCTCCCATGCCTGCCAAGGGTGCTGGAAGCTCTCTTTGCCCATCGTTAACTCCCCTGTGCCCTCCCCATGCCTCCAACATTGGCCCTGCTCGGCCTCCTCTGACGCCAGTTGTTTTCATCTGCAATATCTTTTTGGCCTTGAGAGTCTTACATTGATTCCCACCCCAGCATCCAGCCCCCGACAGAACACCTGCTTTCTGCCTTCTCACCCTCTTGATCCTCTGCAAAATCACTGCTGCACGCCGTGTCCTTCTGACCTGCGTCATCTGGTACAATCTCTTCACCTTTGCTCCCCATTTTCTAGTNCTCTCCCCTTCAGGCTCTCTCTGGCACTGGGTACCCCTGGCTAGCTTCTGACCGTCCCCCGCCCCCCGGCCACATGCTGTCCGAATGGCAGTACCACAATCTGCTTTGCATATTGGCTATGGTGCATGTTTTCTTTCTCATGGCATCGGGGTACTTACAGTAAGAATCTGGTAAAAACTACAAACCCTCTCTGCAGGAAAGTACACACAAACATAACATCTTGCAAGAGTTCTTAGACTCCCATAAAAGGATCCAGTTAAGAACCTTGATACTAGATAACAAGTTCTTTGAGGGCAGGGCCCATGTCCCAGTGTCCCTCCCCTCCTCCTCCTCAGCACTGCCCCTGAATGCTTCCTGTGTTCCCTG